TTCAGTGCCCAGCCCTCCCACGAGCTGGGGCTTCCATCAGTGCTGATTAAGGATCGTTTAGATGGAGTTTAAAACTCTGTTAGGATGGAGAAGAGTGGGGGGAGAGAAGGAAGAGCTCTGAGACTTGCCCTGGTCCCTCTCCTGTGCTTTTCCTGGCACAGTGGGATCCCTTTGCTCCAGCTGAGCAGCTCTGCCCACTCAGAGCTGGCTGGGCTGAGCCTCCTGCCCGTGGGTAAGATTTAGCATCTCCTCTGGAAGCATCCAGAAATGACAAACTAATGAATGGTGCTATTTGGAGAGCATGGGTGGGCACCAGTGCTCCATTTATCAAAGCTGAAGAGGCACCAGAGTTGTTTATGTACCAAGGATTATATTAATGTGACATGAAGCTCTCCCAGCCTGGCTGTGCAGTGTGCAGGTGCTGGCTCCTGTTCCCTGGGAGCCATTTCTGCCTTGCTGTCACGTCCTAGAGGAAAGGGGAGTTTGCCTTGCCCTTTGTTTTCTTTCCTGATTGCTTCGACCTGGGGGTTTGCAGGTAAAGCAGTTCTTTCTGACCAGACATGCTTATTTAAACTTCAGCTCTTGCCATTTCCTTATGTTCCAGTGATCATTCCTGAGCTGCTGTGAGCTTCAAGCTCATTCCTCGGGAGTTTTGTTGAATGCTTTGGGACTTTTTGCCCTGATCTTGGAGGCAACCTGTCCCTCCCTCCTGGCCTGCCCTCCCCTGGCACCCGTTCTGAGGAGAGCTGGTGCACAGAGGAAGGTGCCGCTCCAATGTAAGGATTTTTTTTGACTGGGTCCAAACTCTTTGCTGAAGCAGGAAAGGGCTGAGTCAGCATGTTTGTGCTCCTGTGCCGAGCTGGGAGTTAACCCACATTCCCACAGAACAGCCTGGCTTGGCTCCTGTTCCTCAGAACAGCTTGAAGAGGAATTGTTTGGGAGATTTATTTTTTTTTTCAGCCAAATACATCATAAAAGCATCAATTTACTCTAAAAAAACCCCCACTTTAACAGTTACTCAGCAAGCCTGGAGCCCACAGAAAACCAGCAAAGGCAGCTGTGTTCTCAGCTGTATCTGAACCTGTTTGCCACCCTTCCTCCTGCTCTCCCAAGGGGAGAAGGGGGTGGGAACATAAATAAATGCCCATAAATAAATGAGCAGAGCTGCTCTCAGAGCCATCCCACGTCAGCAGTTGTGTGCTGGAGCCACGACCTCCATCTGAAGATGCTCTAAACTAAGCAAAGGTTTAAACGGTGTTAATTAGTTAATGGTTTTAAAGAGCTCTGGAAACGCAAAGACGCCTGTAAATGATAATTATTGTTGTTGTTGTTATCAGCAGTGGAGCTCCTGTAATTGGTGGTTAAGCTCCTCCAGGCACAGACTAACCAGAGGCACAACCCTGCTCCTCCCACCCCGCGGGAGAACCGGGATCAGCTCAGCTGGGGAGGCAGTGGGAAGGCTGGGACACGGGGATGACAACACACTGATGCTCTGTCGGGTCTCTCGGGTACCTGAGGCCAGCCCTCGTGCTCCCGTGAGGCATTTCTTCAGGAATATTCTTCAGGAGTAGCATCTTTACTGCTAAGATACCTCCTTTTACATCACAGATCGAGAGAGAGGCATAAGCCTGTTTTTTTTAACTCACGGATAAAGCCACCAGAGGAGACATTTCCAGCCCTGGAGACCTTGGAGTGCCCGTGGATGAGCGGAACAGGATTCAAATCCGGTAACAAACAGCCCTAGCAGTGCCAAGGCCAGGAGCAAACATCCTCTGTGCAGGAGCCCAGGGAACACTTGGAGTGTCCAAACCCTCCCTCCTGGGTGCAGTGCCCCCTGTTAACCCAGCCTGTGTGCTGAGTGTCCCCCCGTGCCAGGGCACTGCTGCTGGCCCAGGGCAGGGCTGCCTGGCTGGCTGTGGGCTGGCAGAACATGCTCCAGCTGCTGGGAATGAGCAGGCACTGGGCACTGAAATAAATGACATCATTTACAGCCCAGTCCATGGCCCTGCCCAGCCTGCAGCCCCTTCAGCTGCAGCTTTGCAGCACAGCCCGAGGGAGGGGGTGTTGGCAAGAGCCTGTTTCATCAGAGACCTCCTGTCTCAACAAGCTTTTTTGTTGCTCCTTGGCATCCAGTTCTTCCTTATCAGCTGACAAAGGGCTTAATGGGAACGGGAACAACCCTTGGCTGTGCCAGTTGAGTGCCTTGTAATCCTGCCAAGGTGTCACTGGGAGGTGAACACACGTTCACCCCGTGCCCAGGTAAGGCAGGATGCTGATAAAGGTTTTCACCAGCCCTGCCAAACATACCTTTCTTTGTTCTGGAGACAAAACCCAACATCCCTCCTGCAGCCAAGTCTTCTCTGGGGTAACTTCAGGCTGTCACTGCTCACTGTGAGCTCAGGGAGGCCTGGGCTTAAAATGACCAGGAGCATTTGGGGGTTGGAATTTGATGATCTTTAGAGTTCTTTCCACAGAATCAGAGAATTATTGAGGTTGGAAAAGACCTCCCAGACCATCGAGTCCAAGCTGTGCCTGATCCCCACCTCAGAGGTGTAAAAATAATGTGCTGTTTTTATTTCTGCTAAATAAAAATACAACTGTTGAGGGAGCACGTTGCTGTCTCCGGTCATCTTATCCCTTAGTTCTGTTTGAAGGAAGTCTCGTTGGCCAGTTTGTATTTTTAACACAAATATCTGACTAAATTTGTCCTGCCATCTTCTGTGAGGGGAAAAAAAAAAGGTTGAGTTACTGTCTGGTGATTTTTGCAGGCAAACCAACGAAATCTGCTTAATTTTTTTTTCCCCATAATAACAGCCTTTTTCTTTTTACATTACATTTTTCATTTCACTTCATGACTCCCAAGGGATGAGCATCACTGACTTGTCATTTTTTAAATGCAGGTGGCACTTGAGGCAGGATTCAGACTAACTGATGCCTCTGGAATGACACAGAAGAAATGGGATCTGCCCCAAAAGTGCAGGAAAGCCAGATGCTGGAACACCAAAGCTGGCTGGGAATTGCTTCCTTTTCCTGTCCAGGTATTCCTGGTGATTTATCCCAGCTCCCTGCAGCCCACATCCATCAGGGCTGGGGCTCCAAGGCTGCACTGGGAGCAGCAGAGCTGGGCTGGGGCAGAGCTGCAGATGCTGCAGCACCAGGTTCTGGGAACCAGGCTGGAATTCCAGCTCACTGGGCTCCGTGGGACTCTTGCCATTGATTTAATTGGAGCCAGAATTTCCTGTCACTGGCAGGAAACTCATCCCAGGGTTGGATGCAGGGGCTCTGCCAAAGCCTCTGCTGGAGCAGCACAGCCCAGGTTTGCTGCTGCAGGAGGTGCTGGGGTGACCCCCAGGTCACCTGGGGTGACCCCCAGGGATGTGTTCCCTGCCCTCAGGGCACACTTGGAACCTTTGGGGAGTTCCCCTCAGGCCTGAATTTCCAGCTGGGGCTCTGTTTGTGTGGAGTTCTGTGCCACGAGGGGTGTGCTCTGACACCCTTCACAGAGGAATCACAAGGTACCAGCCACAAATCTGCCCTGCACTGCGTTTGTTCGAGTTCATAAATTATGCTGGGGAATAAATAGATCTTAAATTACACCCTGGCCTGGCCAGGACTTTTATCTTGCCTGTCAGGACTTGTGTAATATTAATTATAGGCTGCTTCAGATGCCCTCAGGGAGAGCTGGCACATGGCTGCAGCACTCATCTGTGACTCTCCCAGCCCCTACTGGATTTTTTTTTTCATTTAATCAATGCCCAATAAATCTCTGGAATCTGGACATCTGTGTTTGACATAGCCAGGGAGTGACCCAATTCAATTCCAGTTTATGCTGGGACTGGACACTCGGATTTCTGCTTTTGAGGCATCAGAGTAGTGGGAAAATATCCCCTTTGGTGAAGCCCAGGGAGGCTCCAAGAAGAGGATTTGGGGAATAAAGCAGCACAAATCTGCAGGGGTGTTGCAGGGGTGGTTTGCTGCCCGCTGGAAGGTGCCCTAAGGAAGAGCTGCTGTCCAGCTGAGCCCTCCCTGGGACATGTCCATCCCTCTGGCTCAGGGGGGTGGGATTTTACAGCCCCCAGGTGTGTGCAGGGCACTGAGGAGGAGCCATTCCAGCTCTGGGGTTGGGCTGGGCTGGTTTGATGCTCCCGTGCTGAGCCCTCTCTGTGCACAGGCCCAGGGGTGGTTAAGCAGGAGCTGCTCCAAGTGAATCCCTTTGAGGTGACTCACTCACAGTGAGCCTGGCACACACTCCACCATCACACCCTCTGCAGAGAAATGGTGCTGTTAAACCCAGCTTAGACCCAGGGGGTGAGCAGACAGTGCTCAGAACTGCTGCACTGGATCTCCCCCCTGCTTTGGCAATGAACAGACAACATCTAGTGGTGGATGCAGGAGCAGGGTCTGTGCTGTGCTGCTGTCACACCTGGTGTCTTAAGGACTTCCCTGTGCTGGAGGGCACCTCCAGACCCTGCCTCTAAGAGTTCCTGACGACTGATAGAGTGACAGATGGATTTCCTGCTCCTTGGGAACACTTTGTCAATCCTGACCATGGTGATCGTCGCTTATGGCCACAAACCAAGGCAGTTTATCTGCACTAACTCACTCCTCAGCCTCTTAATCTTCAGGAATGCCTGGTGTGGATGAAATGGATTAACAGGCCGTGGTTTTCACTTCAGATGAACAGGAGATAAATTGTTATGCCGAGGAATGAGATTTGCTGTTTGTATATGGTTGTTAGTACAGTTTATTCTCCCTGTGGACCATTTCTTCCAGTGAACATGACCTGCACTGTAAAGAGCAGATTTCATTATTTTATGGGTTAAAGAATCTGATTTGTTTGCTTTGTGCTGATTTCAATAAGCCCCGTTTAATACACGCTAATTGTTCTTAATGCCTTAAATTAATTACGGCCATTTCCACTGCCCCTCTGTGTCCTCCTTGCCAGAGGATCACCATGGCAACAACCTGGTTCCATCCACATCCAGGGTTCACTCCCAGCTGTTCCCTGCCCCCTTGGGGAGCAGTTTGCAGGGTGAGGAGCCCAGAGAGGCTCAGTTTTGGGGTTTTGGGGATACAATACGAGCTGGCAGCAGCCCCAAGGCCCACCCTGACCAGCTGAGCAACGTGCCCCAGTTTCCCCTTTTGTAAAACAGATGGATCCAGCTCTCTCAGCCCTCTGAGCTGCTTTGGGAACCACTGATGAAAGGGAGCAATGGTTTACATGTCTCCCTCTATTTTTGTGGGTAGGATTGATTCTGTGGGAGCTCAGTTTCTCCTGCTGAAGGAAGCACTGGTGGAGCCTGGACAGCTGGAGGTCCCTCTGCCAGCCCAGCACTGCTGAAGGGCTGCACTGGAGCATCACAGGATGGAAGGGACCACTGGAGGTCCCCAAATCCCCCCTCCCTGCCCCAGCAGGGTCACTCAGCATTGTGTCCAGCTGGCTTTGGAATATCTGCCCTCTGGGCAGCCTGTCGCGGTGCTCAGTCACCCTCCCAGTAGAGTTCTTCCTCGTGTTCACTTGGAACTTCCCTGGATGACGCCCGAAGGTCTCTCCCCTCCCAAAGGGTGATTCCATGGTTTCTCCTTGTCCGCAGCCCCGCTCCAGGGCTCCGGGGCTTCCCCTCGGTGCCAGCAGATGGCAATCCCTGCCCAGGCACTGCTCGGGCTCCTCCGGAGCTCCCCCTTCCCTGCCTGCCCAGCTCCCGAGGGTCCGGAGGTGCTCCTGGAAGCGCAGCTGGGAATCCACCCCCAGCCCCCGCCCACGACGTGACGACCCAGATCCAGCACCTGGAGCTTCCAGCAGCTCCCAGGAAAAGGGTTTGGTGGGTCCCAAGGAGTGGGAAGGAGCCTGGAAAGAGGAGGCTCTGAGAGAGGCATGGGATGGTTTTCTGGGGGGAGACTCTACCAAAATGCTCCCCCTCCTCCTCCTCCTCCTCCTCCTCCTCCTCCTGCTCCTGCTCCTGCTCCTGCACAGGTTCCCTGCCATGCATAATTCACAGCTCTGCTGCACTGACTCCAAGTCAGTTGGCTTTGAAACATTAATATGAAGGGAAGAAATGCTGGTGGTGGTTTTTTTTTTTTCTCTTCTCATATGCCTTGGGCAGGAGCCTTTAAAGGGACAGAGCTGAGATTAATAAACTGGGAGAGGAAGCAGACAAGGTGCCAGGTCATCTGCAGACGTTTGAGGAGACTTTGTACACACTGGGGAGAGGAACAGCCCTGGCACAGGCAGCCAAGAGAGACAGCATTGCCAGTAGGATTGGGAATGTGCTAACTTGGGAACACTGCTCCAGCTTCTTGCTCTGACACAGCCTTTGGTCAAATCCCTAAGCCTTTGTGTCCCCTTCCTGACTGCAGTGCTAAGGAGTGCTCCGAGTTCCCTAAGAGCAGTGCTTTTGGGTGGGACACCCATCAGTGCTCAGCCCCCATCCCTCCTTCCACTGTCCCTCCCCTCCCTTCCCCGGCACCAGCGGGCTGGGGGAATCCATTCTGCTTTCCTCTCTCACTATTTGTTGTGTTCCTTCATGGGCCACTGCCCCTGATACTCGGTGCTGTCGTTGCTGGGAAAACTAAATGAAAACACAGGGCAACAAATGAAGGAGCTGCTGCTCCGGTGGCTGCTGCTGAACTCCCGCAGCCGAGCGTGAATCCAGCGGTGTTTGCCACGCACAGGCACCTTCCCAGGGCCTCTGCTGCAAGAGGCACAGGGCCCCAAGCCCTGCAGTTGTTCTGGCTCAGAAAATCTCCCTTGAAGCAGGAGGTTTCCCTCTCCTGGCAGGACGGGGTTTGCTGGCACACAGGTGGGTCTGGGAGCCCACAAACCCACACACTCGGGAGTTCCAGGGAAGCTCCGTCACCCGGGAGCCCTGAGGCTCTTCCAGTGGCACACAGGATACCCCAAATTCTTCCAGGCTGTGCTGGTGGTGCGGCAGGAGCTGCACATTGCTCGGGGGGCCAGAGGAGCAGCACTGGCTGCTTTTTTGAGCAGCCTTGGTACAGACAGAAACACGCCCTAGAAATCTAATTTGAGCCAATGCTTCGTGTTTTCTCGGCTTCACAAGAGACATAAATTCAGCATGAGCATTTTGAGATCTGGTTTATCTGGGTTTATGTGCTCTCCATCACAGAGTCTTCACTGCAGAGCCCACACCAGCAACTATTTTCCTGCCATGAAAACCAGTATAGTTTTAAATTGACTTAAAAGCCATTGAACTCTCTTATGCCTCGAAAACACTCATGAATTTTACAGTAACTGAAACCTTTCTTGTCTTGTTACATTAAAAACATTTTCCAGAGGGTGTATGAGCTGCAGATCAACCATTCCTGGTGCCATTATAATTTAAAAGGGAGCAGATATTGTATAATTACAGATGCCTTGGATAACTTCCTTCTGATGAGAATCTCCCAAAGACTTGTCCACGTTTGGGGCCCCCGGGATGGGATTTTTCTTTTGCCAAATTTCTCTTAGAAAACATTTCAAGTAGCATTTCACATCTTGGTTGATCTGTTTTCAGGACCGTGGGCAAAATCTCCTGGGATTTTTATTAGGGATTGTGTGAGTCTGACTTTGATCACTCTGCGTGGAGGAGCTGGAAAAGTGGGATCTCCTGGAACAGGTGGCAGAAGAACAGCACAGGCACTGAGCTCTGGAGGGAGAGGGTGCAGGAGGAACCAGGAGTAGCAAAAAGGGGAAGGTAAGAACTGCACAGAGCTGACAGTGGTTCTGCAGTGCCACAGACCCCACCTCCACACCTTTTCCTCTCTGTCACTGCTTGGGATGGCCCCTGTCACCACTGCACGTGCTCTGGGGATGATGACAGTCCCCCTTCATCACAGTTTCCCACTCTGAGCTTGATTATGCACATTTCTTGTGCAATTAAAACGGCAAAGTGCATCAGAATTTGCATTAAAAATATCCTGCCCATTAAAACACTTGCAATTTCCTCCATGATCCACAGCTTTGAAAAGCTTTTTTTTTTTTTTTATCCTCTCAGACCAGTTAAAAGACAGCATTTTCTGTCTTGGAGCCCGAGAAGGAAATTGTTACTCTTAAGAGCCTTATTGCTTATTAATGGAGGTAATTAAATGGCTCTAAGCTGAGGCCAGCGTGCAGCAAGAGTGCCTGCACACATTCCCTGCTCTGAATGCTGCACTCAAATTAATAAAAGTATTGATGTAGACAATGGCTGATGCCTGGGAATTGCTCTTGAGACTGTAATGAAGACAGTTGCCTCCTCTGAGCTCCCTCTCACTATAATACAGCTAAAAATAGCCCAGGTCGACACTTGCAACGGAGCAGCTGTTGAGCAACAGCATTAGATGCCAGAGGAACACCCAAAATAGACTGGAGGGGTGGAGGATCCAGCTCCTGATGGAGCCAAAGGGAAGCAAAGAGCTGGAGCAGAGCTCCTTCAGTGCAGAGTGTCCCTGGGCTGTGCAGTGGGGACGTCAAACGGGACCAAAGCAGCAAACCCGGGGGTGAGGGGGGTGTTCCCTCCTGGATGAATCCCAGCTGCCCAGAGGGCTGGAGAGCAGGAAAGGCTCTGGAACTGAAGAGTGAGAGTTTGCTGCAGTGCTGGCTCTGTGTAAATGACACGGGTGTGAAGCACAAATATCCCATCGGGGCCGTTCCTGAGGGAACTCTCCGGGGTTTCCAACTTGTTCTGGAAGAAAATGGCTTGGTGTTTGCAGCCCAGGCTGTCTCCCTCCTGCAGAGGTGGGTGTGGAGGGGTGACAGAGATCACACGTCAGTCAGTAAAAGCTAAACTGGCAGAAAAACCTGATTGCTTAACCTCTGCTTAATCCCATGTGCTGATGATTTATTATTTAACTCTTACACAGTCCCAGGGAAGAGAGGATGGGTTTGGGGTTTAACCTGCCAAACACAACTGTGGCTCAGGGCGTGTTTTGTTTAACCTGGGTTAATCCCATCGGGGTTGCAAAGGTCCTGAGACCTGGGGGACAAGAAAAAGCAGGGCCAAGTGAGCAATTTGGTTTTCTGAATAGCATGAGCTCTGCTCTGCTGAGCATTTGGAACACTCTGCTTCAAATGATGTAAGACACGAGCAGGAATTTGGGTGTAAAATGTGGGCAGGTGGATACACAGAGTCCTCTGGCTTTCTGAGCCAAATGGAATGTAAGCTTTGGGTTCTGTGCATTGAATATGGTCCCAGCAATGAGGAATCCCTGATCTGAGCCTGCACAACTTCACCCTCTGGGATTTGGTGCCCACCAGACCCAAAAACAGTTGACAAAACCCACTGAGGCAGATGGAGGATGAGTAAGTGCATGGGAACGGCAGGAGCTGGAGTGTTTAGAGAGTGTTTCCATGAGGGTAAACCCCTGTAAGAGCTTCTGAAGGGAAGAGAAACTGCTGTTGATAAAAAGAGAGAATTAGCCAAGTGCTCCAGGAGTCTCAAATAAATTCATGCAGCAATTATTTGTCTTCCCCCAACAACCTGATTAATCAGTTTTTCTCGTGTTGTGTTTGCCTGGTGCTGGAACCTGTCACTGGATTTTCTTTATTGCCTTTTATTCCCTGGTAATCAGCAATGGAAACCAACCATCAGGAACCTGCACAATATCCTGATGATGTGATGAAGTCAGGAGCTCTCTAAGAAATCACAGTTTTGGCAGTGTTAGACAGCTTTCAGTGACAGCTTGTTTCTAGAAGGTATTACAGGCAGGCCCAGCTTTTCTTTGTCAGCAATTATGCAGCTTCCCTCCAGAAGTCCTGATTTGCTCCAAAACAAGGTTCACTATGAACTGTAAAGATTTTTTTCAGTCACCAACAGTGTGGTAAAAAACAAGGCCCCTGCCCTGAGCTGGTCCCTCCCTGGAGCTGCATTAGATTTTGCTGCCTTAGGTTGAAGATGGTAACAGGAAAGTTTCTCTTTAAAAGCCTGGATGCAGCAACATTTGAGCTTGAAGAAGCCAATGCCATTTTAACTAAAGGCTCCCAGGACTGTTTGGAATCTTGTCCTGCATTGCAGGTGATGAAGAAAGGGAACAGGGCCAAAGCTGTGCCTTATAAAGCCCCTTCATTAGGAAATACTTCTTAATAGTTGTGTATGAATGCTTGCAATAAATATTTTAGCAACCACTGGGTGGGAGGGAGGGCAGAACATTAAACCTGTGGTGGGTTTATTGCTGTTCTCCAGTAATTTATAGGAGGCAAATGCTCAGTGCCACTGCTTGGATGGATGCTGTGTGAATGCACTGAGGTCAGAGCAGGGCCAGATGAGCACCTTGTGGTGAACCTTCTGATTTCCAGGAGGGGGGAACCTGCAGGGCGTGGAGCTTTCAGCACTGCTTGGCACGGAATGACCTCAGAGGTCGTGCCCTGAAGGATGCTGTGCCTGCCAGCAGAGCGTGCTGGGTGCTGCCATGCCCCAAAGTGGAGCAAACCAGCCCAGCTGGGCGGTGTGGGAGCGGTGGCAGAGCCCTGGGACCGTGCCCTGAGTGACGGGAGGTTGTGCAGAGGTGACTGAAGGCACGTGTCACCTCTCGATAGAATCCCAGCTTTCCCCGCAGAGCGGGAGTGTTTGTGTCAGGGCTGGGAGGAGGCTGAGGAAAGCTGGCTTTGATTTACCTCGGAGGGAGAAGGAAGAGGCTGAAAATAGCCGAGGGAAAGCGAGCAGGGCAGTGCTGGAGAGGGAATCCCTGGGAATGAAGGCGCCTGCGTTTGTTCCATCCCCCTGGGATGGATTATCCACTTCGCACCCGGCCCCCCCCGGAGCCAGCGGGGCAGAGGAGCTGGATTTCAGTCTGCAGGAGGAGGAAAGAAGCCAGGCTGTAGGAGGGGCTGAAGCAGCTGGGATCATCTGCGGGAAGGTGGGACTGGGAACTCGGAGCATCCCAGTGCACCCCTGGGCAGGTGTGCAGGACAGGAGCCCTCCAGGATGCCCGTGATGTGCTCCCCTGCTCCAAACACCCACAGCAGTCCCTCAAAAATGACCTCTGAACGTTCCCCCTAAATCCCACTCACTGTGATTCAAGCCCTTACTGTGCTGGGGTTTTAGCACAGCCCTCAGGAAAGGACAGGTTGGTTTTTGCTCCTTTTTTTGCTCACCCTTTGCTGCTGCCCGGGCAATCTGCTCTCACTGAGCTGCCTGGTGGGTTGTTTGCTCTGCTCGAGTGGCTCTGCTGGGCTGGAGCCTGGTGATGGCCCCTGAATCCAGCACATCCAAGGGCTCTGGGGTCAGCACAGAGCTGCGTGCAGCACTCAGAGTCTCAGCTAATCTGTGCCATCTCGAGGAGATTGGCCCTGCTGATTTCTGGAGGCTGTGATTGAATGTGGAGCTGGGGCTGGGAACACTAAACAATAACTGTGGTTTGGTTTCGATGCAGCTCAGTCCCCCTGAGGATGGAAAATCACAGATAAACTTCTCATATTGGCAAGAATAAACCCAATCCCAGGAGATTTACTTAGTTACAAATAAGAATTTTAAGGCAAGCTGTTTCCTTGCCACCTGTTTGTTGGATTATAACAATTTGTTTGTCGTCTTGTGGTGTTTTGTTTTTTTTTTTTTTAATCTGGGGGAAAAAAAGATCCGCCAGAGGAAGCACGAAGCAAACCCTGTTGTCTCAGTTACAGCTGGAAATTTGGGGTGGTTTTACCTGTGAGATATCCAAAGTTCACAAGCCCCTACCCAGGGGACTCCTACCCAGCCTGTTTTCTGCCTTAGCTCTGTGTTTGACAAGAAAAAAGGAGAAAAGTCTCTCTTCTGTGGCTGAAGGGAAACCTGTAAAGGGGACTTTTGTGTCTTGAATGACTTTGTGGATTTTTTTGTTGTTTTTTTTTTCTTCATGCCTGACTGCTCAGGGACCTTGTGAGTCAGGCAGGTTTGTGCTGGCAGCCTTTGGGTCCCAGTGTGGCTGCACAGATGTGTGACAGCAGCTGTGCCTCCCTGGGACAGGGAGGGCTTTATCTGCACATGGATCCCATCAGGAACAGGAACTTCAGCCCTGATGTGGCCCCCTCACACCAACATGAAGAAACTCAGCTGATTCTCCATGTCAGGCTTGCAGAAGGAAGTCTTATCCTCCTTTTTTTCCCAGGGAACAGAAGGCAGGTGGAAAGAGTCAATACAGCACAGAGGGAAAGCAAAGCATAGCCCTGGCTGAGGGGACAGGGCTGGGGGTCAGCAGAGGTGAGCTCTGGGATGGCAGAGGAAATAATCCCTGTAAATGCTCACCATTATTCTTGAGTTATATCTGGTTAGACAGCCCCTCACAGAAGCAGAAATAACAGGAGAATGGAGTAAAAACCACAGTAGCTTCTTGACCAAGATAACAAGTGACTGAGCTGGGATGTGTGTGTAACACGCTCCCCATCCTGGGAATGGCAGGGGGGTCAGGCTGGCAGCCAGAGGCTCCAGATGTGCCCAGAGGTGAAGAACTGCAGGCAGGAATGTACCTGTGCTCGGGCAGGGGATGGCAGGAGAGCAGATGTGCCCAGCAGGACTCCTGGGAGTGTCTGAGGACGGGTGAAGTGCAGGAATGGGGGGTGCAGAGTGTGGGGATGGGTCTGGGGGTGTCAGAGCAGGGAACGGGGTGGGCACAAGCCTTGGTGAGGAAAGAAACTCCTCCCCTGGCACAGAGGAGCCAGAGCTGCATTCCTGAGTGCCAGCCAGGCTCTGCCAGCTCCCTTCTGGAGCAGGAGGAGGACGGATGATTCCCGTGCCAGAAATGGTGATGCTGGAAAACTCTGCAGCCTGAAAAGCACAGGGGGAAATTTTCTGGGCTTGAAGGAAAGTTCTTTTGAGGTGTTGGACGCCTGTTTGTGCTGGGGAGGTTGGCACTGGCACTGCCCAGTGCCAGTGAGCCCCTGAGCCCTGAGTGCTAGAGCTGTGCTGGGAGGTGTAAATGCTCTGTTGCACGCAGGATTTCCAGTCATATTTGCAGAAATATGTCCCTCCCCATGGAATTCCCATCCCCACTGCCCTGAGGCCATGCCAGCCTCTTCCACCCATCCAGGTGTGTCCCACCTGGGCAGAGGCACCGGGCAGAGGAGCTTTTCCCGGTGCCTGGGGCACATCCCTCACTCTGTCCCACCCCTCAGGGACAGTCCTGCCACAAAATCAATCGGTGGCTGTTCCCTGCTGT